GTGTAAAATACTCCCAGAGGAGCCATTCACTGCAGCTAGAACTTATCTGGCCCATGGTTGACCTGTGGTTCTGTGGCATAGTCATTGGTGGGGCAATGCTAAGTCAATAGACTGACCACCTGTACAGGCAAGTCTGGATTGGTTAGATGTTGAGTGATTGGATAGATACCAAAATCCCCAAGGAGACATGCTGTCATTAATCTTTTCTTCGAAAAGGATGTGGAGATTTGAAAGATTTTTAAATGAGAGAAATGATGATGATAAAATTATTTGATGGCTGATCTTGAGTTCACTCTTTGATTAACGTAATGTGCAGATAATGTTTGGAGTTTTCACACACATATCAGCATGCGGATGGAAGTTAACTGGGATCACGTCGATGGTTCACGTGGATCAAGCAATGCAGATTGCGTGCATGAAGTCCTTTCAATAAGTAACATGTATAAACAAAGTAGGACTTAATTTGTGAAGACTTAGCAAGTCCTTGACAACTGAACACGATTAAAATGAATAGTAACAAAATAAACTGCAAAATGAAAAAGGTGAAATATGAACAAAACTTGTGCGAATTGTTAAAAAACCCGCTACTAATTTTTAATTTTACGCCGACTTGAGGGCGAAAGTAACCAATACTTGTCGAAGGTCACAAAGCGAAATTCCCGTATGACCAGTGAAAGAGCATGTTCTTCCGTAGTAGTTTGATACCACATATGAACATCTTCTATAAAACTGAGAGTTTTGTGTTTCATTTTACTAACCCTAAACAGGGTTCGTTTTTTTGAAGTGAAGACTGTCCATTCAGAGTGATCTCTGCCCTAATGGCATTAACCTGTAGTCTGTTCTATGCGCGCAACCTTGCGCTTACCTCAGTACACAACATAACTTGGGTACCCATGGAAACATTGCAAGTTGTATGTAGCCTGTCCGCTTGCTAGCGTCAGCTGTTTTTCCGACCACTGTAAAATGAAAACTTTCACATCTTGTTATATAGTACAGCCTTGGAACTTATAAAAGCAAAAATATCAATCTTGTATCCGTTAACAATTCTAAATTCCTACTTCATTGTATGGCGAGACTCTTTAGAACATATTGAACTTCTTGATTCTAAAATCAGTTAAGCTAAAGTAACCTTTGCATTTATTTATATCAGTACATATATTACAGGTCTTAATCTGTGGAGTTTCTTTTCCAGCCATTGTACAATATTATACGAATAAATTGAAAACTATAGTTTCGTATATGAAACGTTGTACAAGTTGCCAATTTCCAGCCCAGGGTAAAAAACCAGATATAAAGCTCAATGAGCTAAAAGGCTCTAGAAAACCTTATGGCCTGACAAATTAATTTGATCACATATCAAAGGAGTGGTCAAGGAGTAACCGACTGTGGAGCAGTGAAGGACGCAGGCTAGAATGGCCACACCCAAGGCCACCTTCTATATCTTCTGACCTCCTTACATTCCATTCAAATCGGCCTCATTCTAATGAAGCTTGCGCAAGCGTAAAGCTTGCAGCGCACAAATTTTCTCTGCTATATACTTCGTTGTGCAGAGAAATGAACTTTTTTACACCATGCTGGCTCCTTTCTTCCCCAACATTGAAACAGAGGGCATCGGGATTTCTAGTCAACTGGAATAAAATACCAACAAACTTTGACACATTCTTTAAACAAACTAGTCAATTATACTTGATTTACTGCACCATGCTGGCTCTGATTTAACCGCAACGTTTGAAGGGTGGAGGATTGGGATTTCCAGTCAACTGGAGGGTGCACTGAACT